GTTTCATATATTAAACCTGACTTGGACTGCCCTTTCACCCTGACTCAAATATAATCACTCACAGAATGGGTCTGAGGAAGCTTCCTAAGCGTGCTCCAACCAATGGAAGTGAAGTACAGGATACTGAGAAAAATCACATTTATTAAGTGCTTACTATATGTCGATTGTTTGCCTAGTACTTTTTTACACATTATCACGTTGCCAGTTTTTCACTACTGTAAGAGGTAATCCCATTAAAAGTAAAGGCAAGGTGAAGCTTACTGTAAAGACTATAGTCTTTCCCCCATTTCATATTACGTCCCACCATCAGTCCTAGACATAAACAGTACTGGAAACAGTGTCCATTAAAAAGAAAAATAAAAGTGGGTTAGCGACTATCTGCTCTAATGAATGGTTAACACATATAAGTAGGTAGCAGTATTTACATACCAAATGGTTAAGAAATCATGACTGCAACAGCACCATAGACTTAGTTTTCTGACTATGAATATATAGAGAACTGTACCTAATTTTCACATTCTTAGTAAGTTGAAATTGGAAGTGAAGTTTAAATGAAGTTAAAATGACATAAGATGGAGAGAATTTATAATGTACAAGAAACAAAACAGTGAATTTGGGCACATCATGTCAAACTCAAACCAGTACATTTTTTGAAATCACAAGTTGTTCTAATACCTAGTAACCTTAAACTAGGGGCTAATTTAAAAAATCATATTTAAAGCACAGTTATGTAAAAATCAATAGATTCCTTCTCTTATGTTTCTTCATCAAAAATTGTTACTCATTCCGGGGCACCTGAGTGGCTCAGTCGGTTAAGCGTCTGACTTCAGCTCAGGTCACCGTCTCACGGTTCGTGAGTTCGAGCCCCGCGTCAGGCTCAGTGCTGACAGCTCAGAACCTGGAGCTTGCTTCAGATTCTGTGTCTCCTCTGTCTTCCCCTCGGCTGCTTGCACTCTATCTCTTCCATGGTCTCAAATATAAACATTAATAAAAATTTGTTTAAATAAACAAAATTGTTACTCATTCCTAATTTTTCCTATTGAAAGGAAACTAAATTTAAACCTTGATTGATACTATAATAAAAAGGTAAATTTTAGTTGTTATCAAAATACTGGAATTCTATTTAAAAAATATCAAGATATTTTAAGATCTAATTCTAGGCAACCATTTTCGTTTATTATTTGTCTTCAGCAGGAATAAAAATTAAAAGTCACCTAAAATAGGGCAACTGGTGCATCCAAAATAATTGAATAGGTCTGAATTGATTTGAGAAAAGAAAAGTAAATCTTTTTCTTTGAGTAAAAGAAAAACAAAATTAATTTTAATAGGCCCAAAGACATTCCAAAAAGTACCTTGCTAGTATTTCTTACTTCTGTCAGCACAAATGATTGTGTAGTCTATGCTGATGCCTTAGACTCATTTATTTTATGCATGAATATGTAAACATTATGTTTCCAATTTTATTCTGGAATGGCATTTAATTTCATGAGGCCTGTGATTCACACAATCCCTTGGTTCTATCTCAAATGTGTCCATACCCTCCATCTTGCAGCAGTTCTGGTTTCTGCACCCTGTCAAATGTAACCTTTGTGCTAATTTGGTAAAATCAGTTCTCACGTTTAGTGCTGAGAGACTGATAACCGAATTCTCAAATGAACTACACATTTGCAAGATGAAGTACAGAGCTGTGGACAATGACTGCTTTCCCACAGTGTAAATTCTTCAGACTCAGCTGTCAACATGTAAGTGTGCAACACAAAAGCAGCTTTAACTTGATGACTTTTTTCCTCCAAGGCCATAAAAATGAAATGGATACTATAGTCTCCCTTATGTTATTCCATCTTCTTGGATTTTCTTTCGCATCGACAGTGAAAGCCTGTATGCCCTTTAGAGTTCTTAGTAGATCAAAGTCTCCTTGCTGAACAAATAACAAACATTTTTCCCTCCTACGTAACTATTTCGGTTTGAGAACAGAGCAGATAGCAATGTTGAAAGAGGTTGTTTTTCCCACCATTTTGCCTCCATACAAAGGCCAGGCTTAATAATTGACAGTGGATATTTCAAAATTGCTCCCTGAGATGTTTAGAGTTTTGTTCTTTTATAGTTTATACAGATAATATTATGGTGATTTCAGCATCTTTTCCTTTCCTTGGTGAGGCCGCTAATTTCTCATAAGGTCACCCACTATTCCTCCTATGACCCCCCCCAGGATGGATATTTGACTATATGTCCAAACCCTTTTGAACACCACAGTGTCTGCGCTCAATTATGAATGATTTGAGGCATCATCTGCATTGAAGAGAACAAACAACGGGGAAGTGCTGTCAAACTTACTAAAAACTTGAGAGAGCAGGGAACAAGGGAAACTAAGAGAGGTGACTCTTTAAAGAGAAAGGGCTACTTAACAATAAGAAATGCTGCAAGAGATATTGTCCAAATGGAGAGACTGATTTAAATAAAGTGTACAGAAAGTTACCAGTTATCACCAACTGCTTTTGGAGAAGCAGTTTCATGGACTCAAACTCAGGTTTAAAGTTGGCTAAAGGCAGCATAAACTTCCCTAAATGGACTTAGATGCATAGGGACTTCATATCACACCATGATTAAAGGAAGGGTTTGGATAGAACAGACAAACAAGTCTTCCGTTGAGGGGAGAAAATCACGGAAGGAGAGATAAAGACCGCAAAAGAAATGTACATTGGGTAAAACTATGAAAAAAATATCAATACAATTAAGTGGAAAGGCAGAGTGGTCAAACATGGAAGAGGCACACCACTCATTAATACATAAAAAAATAATAGGATGATCAGAAATGTTGTTGCAGGAGGGCAGAGATGCTGAGCTAATGGGAGGTGTGTTTTATGTTTTCAGTAGTCACTTTAAAATAAGAGACATTTCAGGACAAAGATTATTATACACAACTCACAGTCTCTGGAAGTTTCAATGAAGCTCAACAGCAGAACTGTGATCTTTCTCTAACAAACCAATGAAAGAGAGAGGTGATGAAAGGAATTTTGGGTTCCAGGAAGGGCAGGAAAAACAAGTGTGGTAGAAGTTTGAAGAATGAGAATATTCAAGCATCTTAATGAGAACTTAGACGGTAACCCATGAGCTCCATTCTTGTTAATGAAGCAAAATAAAACGAGGAAAATTGTATTTATTTATTTTAGGCATATAAATTTCGTACATTTTCTCCTACACTAAATTTACTTACATACTAAAAAGAGAAAGAAAGTAAAAAAAAGTATCTACTTGATCAAGTTGAAGCCAGTGCTTGAAGTTCAGGAAACTGGGTTCTTGTTACAAATCTTGTACTACTAGATTAGATAGAATCTTAGATAAAATATTAGTCTTAATTTCTTCACCTATAAAAACTGAGAGAGAATTTAAGGAAGATGAAAAGAGAATAAAATGAAATAATACAAAGTCCTGGGGCGCCTGGGTGGTTCAGTTGGTTGGGTGGCTGACTTCGGCTCAGGTCACGATCTTGCGGTCTGTGAGTTCA